GTCCACCTCTGACCTTTTATGGTGCTGGGTTCTGTACCCAGAGGGAGGGTTGTAGCAGACCCCGAGTTTTCTTTGTTAAAGCTTTTTGAAAATTCAAGTTGAAGCATTTAAAAAATTTTGTTTATTTATATAAGAGGCTGAGTGACAAAAAAGAGAGAGAAATCTTCCATCCAGTGGTTTACTCCCCAAATGCCTGCAACAGCCAGGGCTGGGCCAGGCCAAAGTTAGGAGCCCAGAGTTCCTTGCAGGTGTCCCATGTGGGTGGCAGGGACACAAGCACTTGAGCCATCACCTGCTGCCTCCCATGGTGCTCGTGAGCAGGAAACTAGATCTGTAGCATGGAGCAACCAAGACTTGAACCAGACTCTCCAGTGTGGGATGTGGGTGTCCTAAGCTGCAGGCTAACCTGCTGCACCTCAGTGCCTGCCACAGTTGAAAGCATTTCAGTGATAAATTTTAGCTTACAAATTTTGTATGTTCCTTTTAGAAATCTTGAAAAATATAAATGGATAGTAAAAAAATAATTCCTCATCCTGCATCCTAACTGTGCATAGACAGGCACACTTAACATTCTATGTGTTTATTTAGTACTGTTTATTCTTTTTAAAAATTGGATTGATTTTAAAAATGGAATTTATTGGCCGGCACCACAGCTCACGTGGATAATCTGCCTGCCTGCAGCACCGGCACCCCAGGTTCTAGTCATGTTTGGGGTGCCGGATTCTGTCCTGGTTGCACCTCTTCCAGTCCAGCTCTCTGCTGTGGCCCAGGAGGGCAATGGGGGATGGTCCAAGTGCTTGGGCCCTGCACCTGCATGGGAGACCAGGAGGAAGCATCTGGCTCCTGCCAGAGCAGCCGTAGCAGCCATTTAGGGGGTGAACCAATGGAAGCAAGACCTTTCTCTCTATCTCTCCTTCTCTCACTGTCTAATTCTGCCTGTTAAAAAAAATAATAAAAAATTTTGCCGGTGCCACGGCTCACTAGGCTAATCCTCCACCTAGCGGCGCCAGCACACCGGGTTCTAGTCCCGGTCGGGGCGCCGGATTCTGTCCTGGTTGCCCCTCTTCCAGGCCAGCTCTCTGCTGTGGCCAGGGAGTGCAGTGGAGGATAGCCCAGGTGCTTGGGCCCTGCACCCCATGGGAGACCAGGAAAAGCACCTGGCTCCTGGCTCCTGCCATCGGATCAGCGTGGTGCGCCAGCCGCAGCGCGCTGGCCTAGGCGGCCATTGGAGGGTGAAACAATGGCAATGGAAGACCTTTCTCTCTCTGTCTCTCTCTCTCACTGTCCACTCTGCCTGTCAAAAAATAAATAAAAAAATAAAAATAAAAAAATAATAAAAAATTTTACAAAATTGAATTTATTTTATAAATCTGTATTTTGATTTTTGAAGTAGCATAAGACTTTTCCATATTATGAAGGTTTTCTGGGAGTCAACTAGAAAATGGGAGATCCCTCTCCTCTCTCTCTCTCTCTTTTTTTCCTCTCTCTCAGCCTCCTTTGCCTTTCAAATAAGATGAAAATAAATTAAAATTAAATGCCTGTGATAGTGGTTTGTGCTAGAGACTTGATATCTATATATGTACACATTCACACATACATAAACACATATCCCAGTAAGTAAATAAATTCTTAACCATAAGACCCAAAACTCTAAAACGACTAGAGGAAAGCAGAGGGAAAGGTCCTTGGCATCGATCTGAGCAGTAATTTCTTGGATGTGACCCCAAAGGCGTGGGCGGCAAAAGCAAAAAATAGACATATGAGATTGCATACAAGAAAATCCTTCTCCAAGCAAAGGAAACAAATGGGATCTCTCTGTCTCTCCTTCTCTGTCTGCCTTAACCTCTCTGTCTCTGACTTTCAAAAAAAATTAAACAATTTTTTTTGTAGTAAAATAGGTCAGGAAAGCAAGGAAGATGGAAGGGGGGATAACAGAACAGGATACTTTTCTTTCTCTGAGGTCGGTATCTGAAGAACGGGGGGTTATTCAGGGTGAGTGCAGACGCGTTAAGGTGCTGTGGGGGCCCTGCCGGGACCCTCAGTGCCTCCCAGGAGTCAGGCAGGAGCAGGAAAGGACACAGGGTGCCGGCAGGTTCAGCGGCATCAGGCACTGAGACCACAAACGCAGTCCTGCAGAGAGGAGGGTGCACCAAGCACCGCCACTGCCAAAGCAAGCTGGGTCCAGCACTTCGGTGCCTAGTACTGTCCCCCTGTGTCCTGCATCCTCAGGACGCCCCCAGGAGGGGAGAACCAGGGTTGACACTTGTGCAGCACCTGCTAAGTGACAATCGCTGCTCTGGGTTCTCAGGCACGGGGGATGTCACAGTGAAATAAACATTACCAGAGCACCCACCCCGATAGCCCTCCTGTGGTGTCTGGGACAACTTCATATGGAAAAAGAATGTCAAGTGCCTCACACCTGGTGCATGAAATGAGCTCCAGGGTGGGAGCTCTTCCTAATTTAAGATAGAAAATAACTCTACCACCGGCACAAAGAAAGAAAACGTTGCAGGCACCAGAGAAGCATTCCATCCGCAGAGCAGGCATTCAGTAGGCTCAGTGGGCCCAAGGTGAAGCTGAGGCGAGAATGGAAATAGATGCTCTTTAATATCCACAGGCAACCTGCTGCTGTCACCATGGCCCCACACAGGAGCCTTGCACACGTTCCCAGTTTCTAGTGCTGGCGGTCATCTGTCACCACTGGGAGCCTTGCCTTGTACAGCAAAAGCACCAGGAATTATTCCTTTTGTATATTCTGGAAGCATATGGTTTGTTTCCATTAATTTAATTCCACATGTAAATGTATGGCAGCTTGGGAGGAAACTAAGGAAAGAATGATGGCTTTAATTTTTCACTGGTAACTGTGTTGCTCTGAGATGGCTACCCCGGGCAGTGTGTTACATGATTATGGTGCTTCTGCCTCCTAAGGGTGACTACACCAAAGCTGAGAATTAGGAGACTTTGGTCCTCCTGCTGGTTCCCCGCGCACCTGCTATGTGACCTTAGTTAGTCACCTCTTCTGCCTTTACTTCCCCTGTCCATAAAAAGGAGGAGAGTAACATAGACCCCAGCCATCCTAGGCCTAACTAGAGACAAGGGCCTTTGGCCCTTTGGGAGTTAAACAATCTATGGATCTTTCTCGCTCTGTCTGTCTTTCTGCCTTTCAGGCAAACGAAAGTAAATTTCTGGCCGGTGCCACGGCTCACTAGGCCAATCCTCCACCTGCAGCACCAGCACACCTGGTTCTAGTCCCGGTCGGGGCACCGGATTCTGTCCCAGTTGCTCCTCTTCCAGTCCAGCTCTCTGCTGTGGCCCGGGAGTGCAGTGGAGGATGGCCCAAGTGCTTGGGCCCTGCACCACATGGGAGACCAGGAGAAGCACCCGGCTCCTGGCTTCGGATCGGCGCAGTACACTGGCCCCAGCGCGCCAGCTGCAGCAGCCATTGGAGGGTGAACCAATGGCAAAGCAAGACCTTTCTCTCTGTCTCTCTCTTTCTCACTGTCCACTCTGCATTAAGATTTATTTTATTTGAAAAGCAGAGTTACAGAGAGAAAGACACACAGAGAGAACTCTTCCATCTGCTGGTTCACTCCCCAAATGGCTCCAACTGTCAGAGCTGGACCAGGCTGGAGCCAGAAGCCAAAAGCTAGGAGCTTCCTCTAAGTCTCCTACAGGGACCCAAGCCCTTGGACCACCTTCCATTGCTTTCCCAGGCATACTAGCAGGGAGCTAGATCAGAAGTGGAGCAGCTGGGACACAAACCAACACCCACATGGGATATCAGTGCCACAGGCGGTGGCTCAACCAGATAAACCACAGTGCCAGCCCGAAAATAAATGTCTTTAAAGATTTTTAAGACCGACCAGGTGTGGGCAAGACCCAGTGGAAAATTAAACTCAGGGTAGGGAAGAGAAGGTGACTGGGCTGCACGTCTGCCAATTGCCACCTGCCAGTTGCTATGCATGTCACCCACACCCTGCATCACCAGCAGTAAACACCCAGTGGGGCTGCCCAGCACACAGACGACAGACAAGAGTGTTTGCTCCCGGGGTTGCACTGGGACTTGCTGGGAAGAAAGCTGGGGAACTTTCTGGGGTGATGCAAATGTTCTGTATTATATCTTGATGAGGGCTTAGATTACACAATGACATGGGCCAGCATCTGTTGAAACTCATCGGATGAAACATGTTAGACCTGCACATTTCAGCGCATGTGCATTTTATCAAAAACATCGAGCTCAGAAGCACTCACAGGTGCTTCTGAAATCCGGAACTTTAGACAAGATACTGGGCGGGGTGGGGGGTGTAGGTAGGACGCCAGAGAGATGTGTTACAAGGCAAATGCAGCAAAATGCTAAGTATGGAAGCTACACAACAGGCACACAATTGTTTAGATAGGATTCCTGCAAGTCTGCAATGAATACTGTCCTGATAAAAGGCAGGAAAGAAAGGGATGGCTGACACGGGACTGAGTTCCAGAAAAGTTCAAAGGCACAGCAACAGCAAAGGAAACAGCAGCCCAGAAAGGTGGAAAAGCTACACCTTGGGCTTGGCACTGTGGTGCCGAGGGTTAAGCAGCCTCCTGCAATGCTGGCATCCTTCGGAGGTTTGCCCAAGTGCTTGGGCCCCAGCTATCCACATGGGAATCCTGGATGGAGTTCCTGGCTCCTGGCTTCAGCCTGGCCCAGCCCTCAAGTGCTGAATCAGGAGGCGGCCCTGGGCTGCAGGAACCACAGGATGGGCCTGTTCCTGTCTACCAGTCTTCCACTCAGTAACCAGTCTGCTGAGGATCTGACCCCTGTTCAGATCCAGTAATGGGAACCAAGGGCACGAAGGGGTCAGCCTCATGCCTGTAGCATGTGGTGTTGGATCTCCACCCCCATCAGGACTGCACCAAACTAAAGCAAGCTTTGAGGTTTTCTGAACAGTAGCTGTGTAAAATATCACTTGTGCAAGGCAACAACGCAAACTTCCCAGGTCTGACGCACTGACCACACCTACCCTTGGTGGGGAGCAGTTTGGAGGTGACCTGCAGTGTCTCCAGGGGTTCCAGGCCAATGTTTTCTAAGGTGACGGCGAGTTGATGAGTCTCCCCGTTGAACAGCTGCATAGACATGTTGGTAGATATCTCGTCACCAGAGGAAGGCTGCAATGAGTGTGCCGATCTAAACCAAAAGCAGGGAGAATAAACTGAAGGAAGAAACCAACGCTGTGCAGGAATGATTCACATCAGGGGCCGGTGCTGTGGTGTAGTGGGTAAAGCCACTGCCTGTAGCACCAGCATCCCATGAGTGCCAATTCAAATCCCAGCTGCTCCACTTCCAATCCAGCTCTCTGCTAATGTGCCTGGGAAAGCAGGGGAAAACGACCCAAGTGCTTGGGCCCCTGCACCCATGTGGGAGACCCAGAAGAAGCTCCTGGTTCCTGGCTTTGTCTTGGTCCCAGCTCCAGTCATTTGGGGAGTGAACCAGCAAATGGAAGATCAATTTGCTTGCTCTCTCTCTCTCTCTCTCCCTGCCTTTCAAATACTAAATTAAAAAAAAAAAAACTGATTCACATCAGGTAAAAGTACGACCACATTTTGGCATTTCAGAAATAGGAGCTAGAGAATCTTGGCTTTGAATGAGAAATTCGGGAGCCAACCATGCTGAGAACAAGTCAGGTTCTGTAAGCCAGGCATATGACGCGCCTCGGCTCCAGGCTCCTATCAGAGGCAATGTTTTTTCCCAAACCAAATCCTGAGAAAAAAACAGCACAACAGGTTGAGGCGATTTCCTATGTGCCATCTGTAACAGCGTTCCTCGCTCCTAGGTCAGGGAAGGAAAGCCGATGCACAACCTCCCTGCATGACCCCTGTGCAGCTTGCACATCAGTTGCTCCTGGGGGAAGGTTTCAGGAGGTAACAAAACTCAGCCAGGACTAATCACTGGCCATCTCGCACAGGAGGGTGTCCAGGCACTCTGTGCTGCAGGGGACAGGGGCAGAAGGAGGCACCCACAGTGCAGGAGCCCAGGAGCCATGAGGAATGGCGTCAGAGTGAGACTGCAGCTGGCACTGCTGCAAAGGCACACTCGGGACATGGCTCTGGGACCCAGCTCCCACCAGCAGCACTGTCCTCCTCAGCCCTGCGCTGGCCCCAGAGCCTTCCCAAGGCAGGAACGATGTTTCTGTCTGTTTGCTATCAGCTCCTTGCCATACACCTAGAGTCTAACAGGTACTCACTAAGAATGCACTGAACAGACTGATAAGCACCTCAACTCTGAACCTCCTGTGTGGCATATAAGAGCATTTTGTCAGTGTCTGCCCGAGCCCAGGACAGAGTGACCACTGTGTGTTCAGCGGCTGTTTGCTTGGTGCCTGGCCTGGTGCAGCATCTCTCAAGGTGCGGAATGCAGGGGCTGGTGTTGTGGTGTAGCAGGTGAAGTCTCTGCATGCAGCACTAGTATCTCTTAATGGGTGCCGGTTCAAGTCCCAGCTGCTCCACTTCCAATCCAGCTCCCTGCTAATACACCTGGATAAACAGTGGGAGATGGTCCAAGTATCTGAACTCCTGCCACCCACATAGGAGACCAAAATGAAGCTCCTGGTTCCTGGCTTCAACCTGGCCTTTGTGGCCATTTGGAGAGTGAACCCACAGATGAGACCTCTCTCTCTCTCTCTCTCTCTTTCTCCAGGTGTGTGTGTGTGTGTGTGTGTGTGTGTGTGTGTGTTTCTATGTAACTCTGCCTTTCAAATAAAAATAAATAAATCTTAAAAAAAGAGACTGGAAGGAAGGCACAGCCCCATTGTGCCCACACACAAGCCATCAGGCCACGGGCCTAGCATCATTACTCCTGCCAGGCTCTGTGGCCCCCCAATGCCCACAGGGTTCTTCTCTTTTGCATGGCTGACCCACAGGGAGGCCTGTGTCCACTGTGCCATGCGCTGAGCTCACTTCTGTCTCTGGGGAGCTGCCTCTCCAGGGCTCTGCATCTGTCCCATCCTGCTGTTCTCAGTCGTATTTCACTCCCTTCCTTACGGTCTGTGTTTGACCATGCTTTGTAAATCCCACACTTTCTATGGAGCCTTCCTGAACCCCACAAGAAAGGGTCAGTGTCCCCTCCTCTGGTTCACATTACAGGAGCAGTCAGCAAATCCTAATGATCACACCAACCCCCTAAACCCCCCATCCCCCCGACAGGGAGCTCTTCTAAAGGGTCATGGCCTAGGTCAGGGTCCTGGAGCACAAGGTGGTGTTCACAGATGCTGGTGAGTGCATTTCACCAGTCACAGGGACCTTTATAGCAGATTAGTTACAATCAACACCTAATTAATCAAGAGTCACTTGAAAAAAACATTTATTTATTTATTTATGTAAAAGGCAGAATTACAGAGAGAGAGAAAGCCCACTTCCATCCACTGGCTCACTTCCCAAATGGTTGCAAAGGCCAGGGCTGGGCCAGACCAAAGCCGGAGCCAGGAGTTTCTTCTGGGTCTCCCACGCAGGTGCAGGGGCCCAAGCACTTGGGTCATCTGCTGCTGCTTTCCCAGGCCATAGCAGGGAGCTAGATTAGAAGGAAAGCAGCCGGGACACAAACCAACACCCATATGGGATGCCAGTGTTGCAGGCAGCAGCTTTACCCACTACACCACAATGGCCAGCCCAGAGAAATAGGGGGCCTTTTGAAAAATATGTCTTATACCATTTTTCAGTAAGAGATAAAAGGCAGCCATCCTGGCCTTCGGTGCCCATGCTGGAGCATGTGTTGGGAGCATGTGTCAGTGCGTCTCCACTGCTCAGCTGCACCCCTGGTGTAAATGGGCCATATTTGGTTCCTGTGTCAGGGCCCTGCTTGCCTGTCTTGCTCAGTGGCAGCCCAGGTACGAATGTGCCACATTTTGTTCAGCCACTTGCCAGGCAATGGGCATCCAAGTTCTGCCTGCTTTCTGGACTATTACAAAAAATACAGCTGTGAACATTCATATACAAGTTTCTGAGTCACTGTGTGCTTTCCTCGGCCTTGGGTAGACACCGAATTTCTGAGTCATATGGTCAATTTACGTTCAACATTTGTAGAAACATGGCAAGCATGCAGGCTTCTCCAGCACCACACATGGCTACTGCCTGTCTTCTGACGACAGCCACCTTGGCAGGTGTGAGCAGGAACCCCACACGGTACCAGCTCCAGAAAGATTGATGATGCCACACACATTTCCAGGTTGCTCGTTAGCTCCTGGGAAGTCTTTCATGGGGAGAGAGCTAGCCCATACTTCTGTCAACCTTTCTAATTTAGTTGTTTGCCTTCTTAGTTTGGGTGTTAAGTAGCAGATCCTTACCAGAGACATGATGTACAAATATTTCCTTCCAGCCTGTGAGTTGTCTGTTCATTTTCTTAGTGGTATTTCTGGAAGCACAGCAGTTTTTAATTTTGATGAAGCCCAATTTATCAGTGTTTTTTTCTTTGTGGATCTTGCTTTTGGTGACATGTCAAAGAACTCTTTGGCTAATACAAGGTCGTGAAAACTCTCACCAGCTTTCTTTTCAAAGGCTGGTGCTCTGAGCTCTCACAGTCAGGTCTGGGATCTGCTTTAGAATTCATGTTTCCTGCATTTCATTGCATTCCCCAATCACCCGATGCTTTCTCCACCTCTGACAAATGATCCCAGCTGCCCACTGTGCATGGCTAATTCCTGCTCCCAGCCCCTCACGGCCACCAGTGGGGACCGGAGGGCAGTGGCCATGCTGGTTCTGCCTTCTCCCTCTCTCCTGCTGAACACAGCCTCCCTGAGCACCAGGCCCCAGAATGCTGGGTCCACGGTTTCAGCTCTGGCACCTGGCCCACTGCCTAGCAAGCAACAAGCATGTATCAGACACACAAACCAGTTAAAACCTTTTAGAAAATCTCAAACATCCTAAAAATAGCCAAAGGATGTCCAAGAAGTGTCACCCCTGAGGGCAACAACTGAGAACGGCCCAAATCCAACAGCAAGGAAAGGGCGGTTATGCAATCCTGAGATATCCTCAGGCTGTCCTTTTTAAACGCAACTAAAACTAAAACCAGGTTTTTAAGACTCTGTGGAAGTGTGAGGAAAAGCTTATTAATGTGATTTCACAAAAACTCATCTATGACACCGTGTTCAGACAAGTGTTTTCTAAAGTGGCAGGAAGCACCTCCAAGCATTCACAGTGACTGGCTCCAGGCCTCCTGACAGCCACTTCCCTTTCTCCTTTATGCTTCCCTGTGATGCTGAAAATCTAAAACAAAAACAAAACAATCCCATATGGGTACCAGTTCGGGTTCTGTCTGCTCTTCTCCAATCAACCTCCTGGCTAATGGCCTGCGAAAAGCAGCCCATGTGTTTGGATCCCACGCCCACATGGGAGACCCAGATGAAGCTCATGGTTCCTGACTTTAGCCTGGCCCAACGCTCCCCGTTGCGGCCATCTGGAGAGTGAACCAAAGGATGGAAGAGCTCTCACTCACTCTGTGTGTCTCTCCCTCTCTTTGTGACTCTTTCAAAATAAATAAATATTTCTTTAAAAACTAAAATAAGGGCCAGCACTGTGGCTCACTAGACTAATCCTCTGTCTTGCGACACTGGCACACCGGGTTCTAGTCCTGGTCAGGGCGCTGGATTCTGTCCCGGTTGCCCCTCTTCCAGGCCAGCCCTCTGCTGTGGCCAGGGAGTGCAGTGGAGGATGGCCCAAGTACTTGAGCCCTGCACCCCATGGGAGACCAGGATATGTACCTGGCTCCTGCCATCAGATCAGCATGGTGCGCTGGCTGCAGCACGCTGGCAGCACCGGCCATTGGAGGGTGAACCAACAACAAAAGGAAGACCTTTCTCTCTGTCGCTCTCTCACTGTCCACTCTGCCTGTCAAACAACAACAACAACAACAACAACAAAAAACTAAAATAAAAGAATTCTGTCAAAGAGAAGAGTGATTTTTTTAGATGCCCTAAGATCCTGACTGTTTTTGGAAGAATAATTTCACATTTGGTCCTAGCCTTAGTATGGGAGATCTTGACTGCTCTAATTTGCTCTGGGCAAAACGGATGAACTACTGTGGACTCTCAAGGCCCCCTCCTGCAGATTCTGGGCCTGCAAATTCTGGACGCATGCAGAGCCTGTGCGCCTCACGAGGGAAGGCTCCCCAGGGCTGCTTCCTGCCCGTGGCTGCACACCTGTGCTCACCGGGTACCTGGGCAGGGAGGTGCTGATCTGCAGTCTTGGCAAAGCGGGGATGACTTCCACAGTAGAGCCGCTGGTCTTTATTCCCGGGAGGTGGTCCAGCAGGCAGTCACTGACAACACCAAAGACGGAGGTGTGGTAACCTGGGACACAGGAAAGTAGAGACCTCACAACTCCCAGCAAAGCTCCATGCCCCGTGTCCACCTTCCTGTCCACTGCTGAAGTCCCCAACCAGCAAGGGCAACCCTGCAGAAGACCTGGGTCCTGGTGCTGGCTCCGTTACCTGCCAGTCCCTGCCCACAGCCTCAACATCCCTCGGGCTCCTCCTTTGTGGTGGGGGTTACAATGGCCCCTGTACTCCCATCCCACCAGGCTGACTGGGCCCAAATGGGAAAGCTCCTGTAAGCCATTCAATCTCTGCACAACCCGTAGTCAGCATCTCAGCCCGGGACTCACTTGCTTTTCAGATTTATCCATCTCCACAGTGAGGATGGCAGTTAATATTCCCTCCCGGGACATAATGTAATTTAATGAGTATTTGAAAAATGCTTCAGAACTTTCTGTTCAGAGGCGAAAGTTGAAGAGCCAATTATTATTATTGCAGCAGCTTTGTGATGGGGTGAACTGGCTGTGTGTGTGTGTGTGTGTGTGAGCACTGCCGTTTAAGATGAGCAAATTTCCCACTGGTGAGATAAGCACTTGAAACTATTCAAGCAAAGCTGTAGAACGGCTTTTGAAATTTACCTAATTATTGTCAACAGCATTTACTGTGCAAGAAAATGAAACCATACCCAGCGGCTCGAGGCTCAGGTGACAACCTGCCTACACTGTGTGAGCCTGGGGTGTGCTCAATGGAGAAGCCAGCATGGCTTTCAAGGGCTCCCGGGGCCCCAGCAGCCTCCTCGGTCCTCCTGAGGTTCCTGCTGGCTGGGAGCTGCTCTCTCAACACCACTCCAGCTCACCCTCCCTCAGAGGGTGGGCTTGTCAAAACACCCCTGCAATGGGCAAAACACTATTCTCCCCACAAATCCATACCTGGAACCAGGGTTTCTCGCATTTGCCTTTCAACAGGAACCTGATATATGTTTTGCCTGCTGAGCAACCACTATTTTATAATTCCTAATTAGAATCAGGCCTTTCCTTACCGTTGCTGAAAATGGCTGTCACATAATAGTCTGATGACAAAGACTTGGGGTCCACAATTACTGTGCACAGCAGTACAGGGTCAGCCGTCTAGCTTTGGGCACAAGACACACCAAAGAACAATGCCAACTGCTCTGCACAGAGATGCACAGCTCAGGGACCACTAAGTCCACACAGGTAGTGGAGGAAGTGGAAAAGGATAGGGCACTTGCAAGACAGCAAAGGTAGAGGAACAATGTGTAACCCAGCAGGAAGGCTCGGCAGAGGAGCACAGAGATGGACCACACAGGGCTGGGGAACTCGGCCTGATGACGAGGGAAAGTGACTCCCACTGGTTGACCAGGATGCCTTCAGAGGAGAGAGAAGGGTCTCAGAGGAGAGACCGCTTTGGGGAGGGGAGGCAGTACATTTGGGTTGGACGTGTAGAACACGCATGTCCCACCCGCTGGACACCAGGGGGATAGCTGGGAAGTGCTGGGGCGCAGGCCAGAGAAGGGTACCTGACACCAGGCGTGGTCAGCAGTCTATAGAATGTGAGGCAGAAAAACACTGTGGGGCTGGGGATACCCTCACCAGTGGTGATGTACAGAGGACAGAGAGGAGGACAAGAAACACAGAGTGAGGAGCACCTGTCAGAGGGCTGGGCTGCAAGGGGACACCTGCACGAGACCAGCAAGACTGCGGAAGAAGGGCCAAAGAGACCGCGGAAAATCTGGAGGGTGTGGTGTAACCAAGGCTGGAGGACACAGCTCTCCACATATGCAGGGTAGCAAATGAGCACTAAAGCTCCAAGCAAACCAAACCACTGGTCCCAGGTTTAGGTAGAAAAATGCCACTAGTGATGCCACAGACAGGTGTCCTGGTGAAGGGATAAGGGTTAAACTCAGGACGCGGAGGGGTGCAGGAACATGGCACTGGTGGCAGAAGTGACTCAGTGTGCACAGCCAACTCTCCCAAGAGATCCAGCAGAAGACAGGGGCTTCCTGAGAGCACATGGGACATCGTGGCATCAGGAAAGGTCAGGATGCAGAGCTAGGAACTAAGCTGTTGGAAGACTGTCTGGAGGAGGAGGCAGACAGAGCACAGGAAGGGGCCCCGCCCAGTGCAGCAGGAGCCTGGCAGGTGCCAATCACACTCCAACAACTTGCACCACATCCCAAGGAAAGGCAGTCTTTCCCCATCCCTTGATGGACGAGGACTAACGAGATGGGTGAGAGGCTCTGGACCCTGGTGTACGGAACAGCAGTGTGGCAGCCCCTCAACAGCAGCAATCAGAAAAGCCCTTACCGTTCACGGTGATCGTTCCAGTCGTCTGTGGGACCCCTACGAGCGTCACCAGGTACAGACCAGACTCGGCCGGAAGGGAGAGCGCTGCGGGGCGCAACTCGAATTCCACTCCACTGGTCAGCAGCCCCTGCAGCAAGTCACAGAGCGACGTGAGCAGGACCAGCCTGCACCACACACCTGGCAGCCCAGAACAAGGCAGTGGAAGGCTGCGGCTTCTTAGAACCCACAGAGAACTGCAGAGACCATGCACACGTGACGCACGGGGCAGTCAGATCAACAGCCGCTGTCCTTGATTTTGGTCCTCTCTTCCATGTTTCTGATGTTTGCTTTGCTTTCTTCTTGTACCAAATGGGAATATGAACACAAAGGAAAATTTTTATTTTTCTTTTTTTGAAACACTTATATTTATTTGAAAACAAGAGGGAAACAGAGACAGAGAGATCTACTGTTTTACTCCACTAATGGCTGCAATGGCCGGGGCTGGGCCAGGCCAAAGCCAGGATCCAGAAGCTTCCTCCTGGTCTCCCACAATCTAAAAGACATCAACAATCACCAGTCAACTATTGGAAAATAAAATGTTTCAAAAAATTAACAAGACACCAAAAATTCCAACTATCTTGGAGCAAATCTAACGAATAATGTGCAAGATTTCATCACAGTTACAGAACCCTGCTGAGATAAATTAGAGAACTCAAGACACAGAGAGTCCTGCCCTGTTTGTGGGGTTCCGCTTTCCACAGTTTGCAGTCAAGGCAACCCTCAAACTCTCAGATCCAGGTCCGGCATTGGGGCATAGCAGGTAAAGCCTCTGCCTATAACACCAGCATCCCATATAGCTGCTGGTTTGCATCCTTGCTGCTCCACTTCTGATCCAGCTGCCTGCCCATGTGCCTGAGAATACAGCAGAAGATGGCCCAAGTGTTTGGGCCTCTGCCACCCATGTGGGAGATCCAGACAGAACTCCTGTCTTCAAGCCTGGCTCAGCCCTGGCTTGGGCGGACACTTGGGGAGTGAACCAGCAAATGGACTCTGTGACTCAACTTTCAAATAAATAAATAAATAAATAATCTTTAAAAAAAAAAAAAACCTCTTTTATCTGTGGCAGGACAAGGCATGTAAGTGGGTGTGCTGAGAGGAAGGTTGCAAACATGGAACGCAGGAAGGCAAGATGCCGGGCCTCGGTGTGAGTTCAGGATGTATGAAACCTGCATGCACAGATGTGTGCGTGGTGTAGACAGCTGGGTGTGTGGAATGCACATACACTGTGTCTAACTCTGTGCACAGGAGACGCCAGCAGCAGAGACACTCTGGGGGCAGTGAGCACGCCTGCCGCCCACATGTGAGGCAAACGCGTGAAGTGATCTGCGTGTGTGAGTGTGGAGGGGGTGCAGTGGGCAGGGCACACTCAGTGAAGCTGATCGCATGCCTTTCATCTCTAACAGACACACTGGCCTCTCTGTCTTCTTAGAACAACCAGGGCGGTGTGGCCACCGCTGCCTGCCTGAAATGCGGGTAGCGTGTGCACGTCTGAAGTGTTCCATAGTCAGCTTTTGACACAGCACCATGGTATGCTGGCTATATCCAAGTGGTGGTTTTCTCTTGTCTAAGTCTCTACCCTTCCTGATTTGTTAAAATATGTAATTTATTACTTTTAAACCAGGTAAAAATGCTACTTTTAAAATGAAAAAAAAAAATGTATAAGAAACAACAGCAATCATCTGACACTTTAACTACTTTGTGGTAAATTCCCCCCTTGGATTCCAAGAGCCAGACAGCCACAGCAGAGGCTGACCATGGCCATGTCCTGAGGCCAGTGAACCCTTGTGCAACAGTTGGGGGGACACCGGTGCTCAGTCAGTCTCAGGACTGCTGGCTTAACACAGGCTTGGGGAGCAGTCACATGCAGCAGGGCTGCCCAACAGTCCTGGCTTGCGGAAAACTGTGGCTCCACCAGGCAGTCTGGCCCAGCCAGCAGGGGCGTCTCTCCCAGGCAGGCGCCATGCATCCCCAACACAGCTCATTGTGTTCACACCAGGGATAAGGCCTATAGGCCTTTGTATCCCCCGGGTCCCACGCACCCTGTACCTGGCACAGGGCATGGCCCTCAGTGAGACACCAGCAGGAAGAGCCTGGTTCTCACCTGGAACACCAGTTATGAAACTGGTCGCAGTACAGAGAACCTTGGGAACGGATCCCATGGTAGTCTGAAGGCAGCACAAGTCCCCCAAACAAGCATGGACCAGGGCGTGAATCTTCCACATCCTACATGGTGCAGTAACACAGCACCTCTCTCTACAGCTCCCCCTGCACCTCAATCCCTGTGTCACCTCACAGCAGCACAACAATCTCCAGTAAGCCCCTGTGAACTCCAAAGTGCTGACTTCCAGTCTCATAGCCAATGGGCAAAGCTCAGTGCATGTACAAGCCCAAGGTTGCTCTGTGCTGACTACTCGGCAGCAAGCATGAGACACGGTAATGACAAAACACGGACTTCACTCACCAAACGCTTACTATCTTGGGCAAAGCAGACATGTGTGCCAGAATTAGTGCCTCTAACAGTAAGCAAAGTTGCATTTTAGTGACATGCTGGGGTTCTCGGTCACAGAGGCCCCTGGCGGTGGTACATACCATGTTCTGCACTCGAAGCTCAAACAGCATGGGGTTGTACACCATCAGCTGGACTTCACATACGTCCCCTTGAACCCACTGGAAATCTAGACACACACACAAAAGAACCCTGGGGTTAGCAGGTAGTTTTGAACTTCTCATGGGGTTTCAGATCAGCCCACTGACGATTTTCTTCCCACAAAGGTGGTGGCCGCCATGCCCATTGTGAGGCGGGAAGTTCACAGCTTGGTGTGCCCTGCTTTCTCTGAAACCACGCAAAGCAAGGTATTGCCACTGTCCTGACGCTACACACAGGGTGCCTCCCCCGCCCTCTGCAGGCTGCGCTCCTGCTGGCACCCCAAGGCCACCTCACAAAGCTACAGCTGGACCTGGTGTGGTCCCTTACAGCACACAGCACCCCAAGGGCCCACAGGCTGTCAATTCAGGAAGAAGGCTGGGGTCATTGACAAGAGGTCCGGAGTGTGGGTCACCTGTGCCCCCCAAGACCATGACTTTTCCACCCAGCCCACCTCCTTGTCAGTTGTAACTCAGCAGCCGCTTGGGGAGACAGAACTCTGAAATAACCCCAAGACTCCAAGCAACCCCAAAACAACCCCAAGATGACCTGAGTGTGAACATGATGACCAAGCCACATGACAGAACACAGGTGAATGGTTCCTGTAGACTTAATAGAGGTCCCCAACCAGCTGACCAAGTTCATCAAAAGGGAGATTGCTCTAGATGGGATAGACATGATCAAGTGAGCCCATAAAGGGGTGAGACCCCTCCTGGAGGGGTGGCCCCTAGGAACTCAAGCCAGCAGCACAGGGAACTGAGGGAGGGGCTGGGGGCCAGCAGGGGTGAACAGGGACCTGAGGGAGGGGCTGGGGGCCAGCAGGAACAAGGACCTGAGGGAGGGGCTGGGGGCCAGCAGGGGTGAACAAGGACCTGAGGGAGGGGCTGGGGGCCAGGAGGGGAATGGGGACCTGAGGGAGGGGCCGGGGGCCAGGAGGGGTGAACAGGGACCTGAGGGAGGGGCTGGGGTCCAGGAGGGGAATGGGGACCTGAGGGAGGGGCTGGGGGCCAGGAGGGGAATGGGGACCTGAGGGAGGGGCTGGGGGCCATCAGGGGAAGGGGACCTGAGGGAGGGGCTGGGGGCCAGCAGGGGAACAGGGAACTGAGGGAGGGGCTGGGGGCCAGCAGGGGTGAACAGGGTCCTGAGGGAGGGGCTGGGGGCCAGCAGGGTACGGGGACCTGAGGGAGGGGCTGGGGGCCAGCAGGGAAACAGGGACCTGAGGGAGGGGCTGGGGGCCAGGAGGGGTGAACAGGGTCCTGAGGGAGGGGCTGGGGTCCAGGAGGGGAATGGGGACCTGAGGGAGGGGCTGGGGGCCAGGAGGGGAATGGGGACCTGAGGGAGGGGCTGGGGGCCAGCAGGGGAATGGGGACCTGAGGGAGGGGCTGGGGGCCAGCAGGGGAACAGGGACCTGAGGGAGGGGCTGGGGGCCAGCAGGGGTGAACAGGGTCCTGAGGGAGGGGCTGGGGGCCAGCAGGGTACGGGGACCTGAGGGAGGGGCTGGGGGCCAGCAGGGTAAGGGGACCTGAGGGGGGCCACCTCAGGGAAATGGCTGAGGATACCATGAGGGGTATGGACACAGACCTCCCCTGGACAAGCCTGAGATGTGGACACAGCCTGGGCATAGGACTGCACTGGACGCCCTGATTTCACAGACAGTGAGGAAATCAATCTGTATTGCTCTAAACTGGGAAGTTGGTGATTTCTTACAAAGCAACGAGACACCAGCAGAGTATCCACGACGGGTGTCCAAGATATGCCAGCAGGCAGAGCCTGGCTCTCACCGGAACACCAGTTATGAAACTGGAAGGCAGAGAAGGAAAATCAGACCCCACGTGAGGCGTAAAGCCCTTCCACACGGCTGCCCCACTGCTGTTTGTAATCACCTCGGGGGAACAGCAGTGACCCCAGGGTCACAAGGCAGGCACTTGGGGTCTTAGCAGATGAGCAAACCTGCCTGGGAATACCACCGCCAGCATCTTGTGCCACAGGGACTCTGGCCCATGCCTGGGAACTCCAGGTGGGGCCTAGCAGAGATGTGGTGGCAGAAGGGGAAGCAGAGGCTTTTCCAGCATTTGCTGACCGGAATTCCTTGGCTTCACGGAGCCTTCAGCTTCTGCAAACACCTTGTGCCGGGGCAGCCTGCACAGGATCCAGGACCAGCTCCACCACACCTGTGATGGTGACCGGGAGCTGGCATCTTGGATCCATTCACAAGATGATGGCACAGAGTAACACAGTGCAGGACCGACTGCCACCTGGTCGGAACCAGCACTTGTCTTATTTTACGAAGAGGGAAAACTCTTCCTGACAGGTGGGACAGCCTGCCCATCTTAGGCCCTGATAAATCATTGCTCAGACTCAAAACACAAGGCTGTCAGCTCTGGAACCCGTGCTCTTTCTCCCTCCACCAAGCTGCCCCTCGGTAGCTCCTGGGACTCAGGCTGCCCTCTCTTTGCAGGGGTCTGATGTCAGCCTCTGATAAGCTGCAGGGGCTTCTCCACAAAGGAGCCAGGGAAGCTGTGCTCATCCCACCTGCCCCCTCCACCCTTAGCAGCCTCCCTTGGCCTGCAAGGGACTGGCACCCCAGCCCACCCCCAACCAAAGATGAGGAACTCATTGTCTCTTAAACAGGTCCTTATGCCTGCTATCACAGATTCATTCTCTCTCGTGGTCAAAAAATGATCATTGTGCTTTCCAGGGTGCCAAAAAAAGTAATTTGTACTTTGACGGCCTTCATCCACTACAGGTAAGTCTAAAGTCAATCACTGAGTCTGTGAGAAGTGATTTTTGTCAGAAACAGACAATCCCCTGCCCGTGCCCCTGCCTCAACAGTCCCTCCCTGAAACAGCAAGAGAGCAGGAGTCAGCGGCGGTGAAACCAGCTGTCTCAGGTTTGGCCCATCCCCTGCGCCCGTTATCATCTGTGCAGACAGGTGCTTCTGTGGCCACATTTGCCTCTGCCTGTGGGAAGAAGCGCTCCTGATTGCCTGCTGCATCCCAGTACCGAGCCCCAGGCACACGAGTGCCAGTGCAACCATCATCTACAGGGACATCAGGAACTCTCTATTCTGACCCTCAGCACAGTGCCTCCATGAACTCCCAGTGTGCCCACAGCAGGGAGGGCACACGTGCAGCCCAGGTGGCCCTGTCAGCTGTCCAAGGTCACATGGTGGGGAGTGGGGGTTATAGGGCTAGGCTGCAACCCAGGCTGCCACGTTCTGTCCAGGCCACCCTGCCTGGCAGCAGTGACCTCAGATTGAATCTGGGATACCACAAGGTCCTTTCACAAGAGGGAGTAATCTCTTCACCCCTCCAGGCCTTGCCTGGGACCTTGGTTGCCATCATCTCTGCTCAGAGCAGGGCCCAGACGAAGCCTGCACACAGGCACTCAGGCCAGGAATCAGTGCAGGCGGAGGGCAGGTGGTGTCAGCACTGGCCCTCAGGGTCTGCCTCACCTCCAGTGCCCAGTTAAAGATGGACTTACAGAGACTAGAATCTCAGGCAAAAGGGACACGAGTCTTCACACTATAGGCAGAAAATTGTCCAAAAGATATCAGAAGTTGTGGAACACAAAGTACATTCTCCTACCCATGAGTATTCAACAAATAATATGCATCTCAGCTGAACCTTCTGTTATAGATATTTCAGAAAAAACACAAAGCTTGACATTATCCACTGAATAGATGAGCAGGCACTTCTTACTATGATGCAAAACTGTATCACAGAGGCAAGGGTGGAGGGCGTGTGGCATGGCGGTTCAGACACCACTTGGGATGCCTGCATCCCATATCAGAATGCCTGGGTTTCAGTCCCTGCTCCACCTCCAATTCCAGCTTCCTGCTAACGTGCACCCCGGGAGGCAGGAGGTGCAGTTCCAGCTTCCTGCTAACATGCACCCTGGGAGGCAGGAGGTGACAGCTTAGGTACTCAGGTCCTTGCCACCTGGATCATTGAGTTCTGGGCTCCCATCTTTGAACTGGCCCAGCCCTGGCTGTGGTAAGCATTTGAAGAGTGAACTTGTGGATGGAAGATCTCTCTCCATGTCTCCCTCCCTCCCTTGCTCTCTCTCTGTCTCTCCCTTTCAAATAAAATGAAAAGCAAACAAACAAACTGAAGTCCCTGAGTGCCGAGTTCTAAGCCGAGGGAAGGAGACAGGGCCTGGCCATGACCTGGCTGGCTGGCTCAGGGCAGGTGATGTGCACCCCTCAGTCTCCACCCTCTCCGTGAACAGGCACCTGCAGCATCAGCATCCCACCACGATGAGAACTCCTACCTGGTGTCGGCTTTGGGCCTCATTCACAAAAGGAAGCCTCATCAGTTGCTGAAGAACAAAGAACAGTAATGAGGCTGGATGCTGGGCACGAGCCACAAGGGCAGAGACTCCAAGCCAAGCTCGAAGGCCTTGAGTTTAAGGCTCTGATGTCGCTGTCTTTGAATCCTTAATAATGTTGTAACCAGGGGCTCCCCGATCCCCTGCTGTGCTGGGCCCTGTGGATCACACAGGTGGCCTCAAGAAGAGGAGCCTGGCCTCCAGCCCTTAAGCCCTCTATACAAGTCTGCTCTAGAGCCTCTCTGGCCCTGCCTCCCCAGTGCACAGTCTTTGCTCAGGCTCAAAGGGGAGGTACCCAGGAGCACCTCTGCCACCGACATCCTGTCTCCCTGTTTGACTTCCTATGCACTTGTCCAGCCTGCACGAACTGGGTGGGTAGGGGCAGGCTGCAACCCTCTGGCTTAGCTCAGTGCAGCCCAGTGTCAACATGCTTGGAACACTTACACTAGCCAGGAACTGGGCTCACATGATTTACTGAACACTGACAGCAAAGGACAGAATGGTGTATAGGTGGCTGCCACACCACCATGAAGCCATGACGCTGTACCTGAGCCCTTAGGAGCCAGGCATAATCTGCAGCTAACTGGGGCCCACACCAGGTGTGCATGCACATTAGAGCAAAACAGAGAGCACCCCTGGGAGCGGGATACTTGGTCTGGGGATGTGTGAGCCCAGCTCTTGGCTTTGCCACTAAGCAGCTAAGTAACCTGTAGGAAACCATCTCTCTGAGTCTGTGTTTTTCTGTCTATAAGAGGAGATAAAAATCAACTCCTCCAAAATTAATGCGACAACTAAAGGCACAAAAATATGAGCCAGCCATTTCTCAAGCAGCATCTGAATGAAGAAGTGATCTCCAGGGACAGAAAGCACAGGTCTGTCTAGGACTCCCACCTTGGTCTTGCCCTGTAGCTGAGCAAAAACTTTACTTCCAAAGACGCACTGTTTTCAGGGAGTTCTGACAACATGCAACTTGTTGGTGATGTTTATGGTGAGGCCCTACTAGGAGCTGAGGCCAGCTGGTGCTGGAGTTACAGGAGGAACGCTACGATGATGAGCTCCACACAGCGCTCCGGTGTCCCTTCTGCAGGGAACAACGCGGCACTGCGGACAGCACAGACTGAGCCACGAGGCCACTTCTCCTGGCAGTGAGGTCCTGGACAAGCCCGGTCCACTCCAGTCTCTCTTTCATTGTGCTATGGGCATTGGGAACAGGACAGGGAGCAGCACAGAGCTCCCGGCCTCTTGCTACATTGTGGGAGGGAAGCCATAAAGAGGCAAATGTCTAATTGAGTTAAGGAAAGGCACTACCAAGGGGCAAGCTAGGGATGCTGAGGGCAGGGTGGCCTCCAGAGTACTGGGAGCAGCAGATTCCCCCTCTGAGAAGACGATATTTGAACAGAGACCCAAGCAGCGTGACTGTGAGTGAGGCAGCGACAGCAATGGGACGAGGTCCATGCAGAGACCAAAGCTGTGGGACTGGGACAAGTCATGTGTTCAAGGACCAGGAAGGAGTCATGTGGCTGGATCTGAGAAGCAGAGGTGAGAGAGGTGGGGGGGTCAGGACAGGCAGGCAGCAGGGGTGGTATGCGAGGCAGGGCCCCTAAGGAATGAAGGTGCCTTTTCCCTAAAAGGAGGCACAGCAATCAAAACCAGAAATAAAGAGGCAGCACAGAAAGTGCTCAGGATCAAAAACCGAGAGCAAGAGAGCTGCCAGCAGCCTTGGGCCTCCACACCAGGAGAGGACCAAGGGCAGTTGGCCTCTGGGCAGGGCCCGGCCTTCCCTAAGCTTGGGCTCCTTGTCTAAGAAATGCAGGCCCCTGCCCCTGTAGATCTGTCATGGGGACGCACAGGCCAACCAGCATGACAGGCAATCCCCGCCCCACATGCAAGGGGACCCTGGTGTCTGTCTCCAGGGCAGTGAGGGAGACAGCTCGAGCCACGGCCAGGCCTTGCAAAGGACACCTGGACACAGGACAGGGAGGGCCTGGGGCACACTGTGCCCTGGGTCAGTGACAGGAGAGACATGAGTGGTTGCAGCCTGGGAAGGGGCGGGGAGCTTGGAGCCAGAAGGGCAGAGGCGAGGTCTTCAAGAGAACCAGGGTTCTGCTCCCCCTCTCCCCACGTTCACGGGGAAACGGCACCAGGGACACGGCCCAACCCCAGAGCAGAGCTTTCTCTGCTGGGTGGGAAGTCAGCACGGACCGTGTGAGATCACGCTTGTCTCCACTGCCACTCTGACGTCATCTGTGTTAAGTCTCAATAAACACAGCTCTTTCCAGTTCCTGGGACTTTCCTGAAAATGCCGTCAATGAAATACAGCTTTAAAACTCAGCTCCATGGGCAGCTGCCTGCCAAAGGCAGCAAACCAGACAAGCTTCCGTGGGAGGAAAGGCACACAGGTGGCCTCCCATTCCTGTGCTGCTGGGCCACGTGGCCCAAGGAAAAGGAGCTGACTGGAACCTTGTAAATAGGAGAGTGACAAGGTCAGACTAGTCTCAGTCACAGCCCAGGCAGACCTGGATCTGGACGTGGCTCTGCCATTGAACAGGCAAGTGCCTGGGGCCACTGTGGGACATCACAGGTCCAGTCTCTCGCGTCCACATATCCCAGGATGGCGGTCATCCAGGAAAACATGGAAGTTCTTCTCAAGATCTCTACACGTGGGGTGGGAGAAGCCCCGCCCACCTTACCTGACAATGGGGAGCTTGGTGAAGGGCACAGGGTCAGGGTGAGGCCATCTGGGAGAGTGATGAGCTCCATCGTCCCAGGACACTTGGAGGTGTAGTTCTCCAGGCTCTGAGTCACATCCTTCTTCTCTGAAGAGAACACAAACACAAGATAAAGGCTCATTAAACAGAACGGGCAGCTGCGGTATTTCCTGAGCACTCCGAGGTAGACAGGTATGGACCATGGAGGCGAGGGCTGTGCAGGGCGTCCCTCAGTGGATCCAGACATTCAGCAGCAGCTGCTCCATGTGAGGGCCTAAGGATGGAGGCAACATCAAGGCACTCTCCTCGACGAGGTTTCCATTGGCCCAGGAAACGTGTCTGCACCAAGTTCCAAGGCAGCCAGCAGGCAAGACGGGGGGAGGAGTGTGCCTGCGACCAAACAGCACTTTCCCAGCTGTTAGTTTTTTTAAAGGTTGAGAAGTAAAGATACAGCTTTTGGGACACAAACTCCTTAAAGGGAAGAAGACCTTGCCTTTACCAATACTTGCATTTTTCTGAGCACTCATGCAGGCCAAGTACCATGCTGTGTTCCTCAGACTACAAAATCTGGAAGGAGGGGCCGGCATTGTGGCATAGTGGGTAAAGCCATCACTAGCAATGCCAGTATCCCATTTGGGTACTGGTTGGAGTCCCAGCTGCTCCATTTCCAATTCAGCTCCCTGCCAATGTGCCTGAGAATGCAGCAGAGGCTAGCCCAAGTTTGTGGGCCTCTGTAGCAACATGAAAGACCCAATGGAGCTCCAGGCTGCAGCCTGGCCTAGCACTGGTCATTAAAGGTATTTGGGGAGTAAACCAGTGGATAGGAGATTGCTCTCTGTCTCTCCCTCTTTCTTTCTCTGTTATTCTGCCTTTTTTTTTTTTGACAGGCAGAGTGGACAGTGAGAGAGACAGAGAGAAAGGTCTTCCTTTGCCATTGGTTCACCCTCCATTGGCCGGCACGGCTAGCGCGCTGGTGCCGGCGCACCACGCTGATCCGATGGCAGGAGCCAGGTACTTATCCTGGTCTCCCATGGGGTGCAGGGACCAAGGACTTGGGCCATCCTCCACTGCACTCCCAGGCCATAGCACAGAGCTGGCCTGGAAGAGGGGCAACCGGGACAGAATCCGGTGCCCTGACCGGGGCTAGAACTGCGGTGTGCCGGCGCCGCAAGGTGGAGGATTAGCCTAGTGAGCTGTGGTGCCAGCCTGTTATTCTGCCTTTCAAATAAATAAAAACAAATCTTAAAAAAAAAAAAAAACCTTGAAGGCAAGAGATCTTGGTATATTTAAAGAACTTCAATACTTTTTATTCAAAATAGGTACATGATACTTTCCCTCAAAATTTCTATAAAAGAAGGGGTGAAGAGGGGGTCCAGTGCCGTGGCACAGAAGGTGAAGCCTCCACTGGCAGTGCCAGCATCTCATATGGGTGCTGGTTCAAGTCCTGGCTGCTCCACTTCTGATCCAGCTCCCTGCTAATAGCCTGGGAGCACACTGGAAGATGGCCCAAGTGCTTGGCCCCTGCATCCACATGGGGGACTGGATGAAGCTCCTGACTCCTGGCTTCAGCCTGCTCTACCCCTGGCCACTGCAACCATTTGGGGAGTTTACCAGCGGAAGGAAGATCTCTCTGTCTCCACCTCTCTCTTGGGAATTCTGTCTTTCAAATAAATAAATCAATCTTTAAAAAAAATCTTCAATTATTATTGAAACAAAAAGAGGTGGGGGAGAGGCATTATTATCCTCTTTGAAACATGATAGACTAACTCAAGGATAATCTGGAAAATTTCATTATGCACTGGTTATAAATGCTACCAAAATCTAATTTTTTAAAAGACTTATGTTCAGCACCCATTTGGAATGCCAATGCCAGAGGCATCGGCTTAACCCATTGCACCACAGTGCCAGTCCCTAAACATTAATTTTTAACAATGATATTAACATTGTGGTAATATAAGAGCATGCCCATTTTTTAGAGGCTTACTAAAGTATGAAGATGTGAAATGACACAATGTGGCCAGGATTTTCTTTTAAATAACTCAAACAAAAAAGCAACAGATGAAGTAAATGCACAAAAATCTTGGTAAGTATTAAATTTTGGTGGCTAATATTTGGAGATTCACATTACTATGCTTTGTACCTTTTTTTAAAGATTTTTTTCAAGTGAGGAGGCTTTAAAAAGTTCATGAAGGGGCCAGCATTGTGGCATCATGGGTGAAGCTGGTGCCTGCGACACCAACACCCCATATGGCTGCTGGTTCAGATCCCAGCTATTCCACTTCTGTTCCAGCCCCCTGCTAATGGGAAAGCAACAGAAGCTGGCCAAGTGCTTGGGTCCCTGAATCTCCATGGGAGACCTGGAAGAAGCTCCTGGCTCCTGTCTTCAGTCTGGCCCAGCCCTGGCCATTGTGGCCATTTGGGCAGAGGACCAGCAGATGGAACTCTATCTCTGTCTGTAACTTCACCTTTCAAATACATAAAATAAATCTTAAAAAGTTCATGAAAAACGTGTATTATGGAAAATCTATTAATGAATCTCAAAAATGTCTTTTACTGAAAAAAAATTTTCTTTTAATTCCATTTTCCTTGAACATTTTGAAGCATCCTGGAAGCTTAAGGGGCTTGGGGACAGGACATGATTTCTTCCAGGTCGTACAGAGAAACGAGGTCAGCTTGCATCCTCCTGTTCCAACCTGCCCAGGCACCCATGTAACAAAGGGGAGCGAGCACAAGGCCCCACGCAGCGGCCACTGACATCTGCTCCACACACCCAGACTCTCACCCCAGACGCTCCGGTCAGCGGGAGGAGGGCACTCATTATTTCACTAAAATCCAATACATCCTGTCCATGTTGACCAGAGTACCTACCGCTAACTGTAGACAGAGCATCTAACGCCTTTGAAACTCAAATTTTCCACCCCAAGAAATTAAAGAATTCACACAGAAAAACCAGAGCATTCTTAATGAAAACGAGCTGTCACCTCACTACAGAAGCAGAAAATCCGGCAACCAGAGCTTCAGACCATGAACGGCTTCCAGGCCATTTGCCATCCATGAGCTGACACCGGCAAGAAAACCAGCACGTCAGGATTTCACAGTTCACTCCTGCTTCTCCCCAGCAACAATGCGAGACAGCCACATAAGCACCCAGTTAGGTGTGGCTCTCTGAACAGGCGGAAGACAGGATGAGGACAAGCAAATGCACCCCCTTTTCCTGGAGGAAAGTGAAGACGGCAGAGGTGAAAGTACAGCTGAGGCCGGACCCCAGCTGAAACAATGTTTTCAGAATCTAGCCCTGGACTGTCAGCTACACAAACAGGGACCACACTAAGGCTTCAATTCTCATAAATGGAATTGTTGATCTGTGTGGGGAAGAGAGAATCCCAGCACACGGCTGGTGGGAATGTGGATGGGAAAACTCCATGGAGGCTCCCAAAGAAATTTAAAAGTAGACTTTCCAGTCCTTCCCTTAGCTACTGACCCAAAGAGGGAGAATTGCCTTGTGCAGATACGTGCACCCTCATGTTCACTGCAGCCAAGGCACAGAAACAACCAACATGCTCACTGGTGAGGGGGTGAATAAAGAACTTTGTGTGTTTGTGTGTGTGTGTGTGTGTGTGTGTGTGAGAGAGAGAGAGAGAGAGAGAGAGAGAGAGACAGAGAGAGAAAGAGACAGAGAGAGAAATGGGATACTAGTCAGCCTTAAAGAAGTAGGAGATCCTGCCATTTGCCACAGCACAGAGAGACCTGGAAGACTTGCTGTGTGAAATAAGTCGGACACAGGAAGAAAAACACTGCATGATTTCATTTACATGCGGAATGTTTAAAAAGAGCTCAAGGGGCTGGAGTTCTGGCACAGTGGGTTAAGCCACTTCTTGTGATGCCAGCATCCTACAACGGAGCACTGGTTCGGGTACAAGCTTTTGTGCTTCCAGTCCAGTTCCCTGACAGTGCACATGGGAAAGCAGCAGAAGATGGCCCAAGTGCTTGGGCCCCTCACCCAGGTGGGAGACCCAAAAGAAGCTCCTGGTTCCCAACTTTGGCTTGGCCCAGCCCCAACCACTGCAGCCATTTAGGGAGTGACCCAGCAGATGGAATCTCTCTCTCTCTCTCTCTCTCTCTCTCTCTCTCTATCTCTAACACTGCCATTCAAATAAATAAATAAATCTTTAAAAAATATCAAATGCCCAAAGATATTCACTGCTTACATCAAGATGACACGTTAATCTACTCCACTCTACTAACCATTTTACTACCTATACAAAGAGTACTCAGAAAGCTTATGGATAAATTCACATTTTTACATATATGTATATATATATGCATTACATATGTATAGATTTCAAACATGTCCACATTAACACAAGCTTACCTCTTAATTCTATTTTTCCATGAACTTTCTGGAGTCCCCTCATATGTGAGTCATGAAACCATGTTGTAAGCCTCAAACAAACACAATGAACTTTATTTCAAATACATTTCTGTTAACAAAAACACAATGTGCTGGTACTTGTGACTTGTACCTAAGGCAGTACTGAAGGGAAATTTGCAGTTTTGGGTATTTATCCTAGGCAAGAAGGAAGACTGAAAACCAAGGATCTGTGTCTTCATTGTAAACGCTAGTAAAATTGTATAATTAAACCCAAAGTGCAAAAATCCATGTAACAGACAACACAAATTAATTTTTAAAATCAACAAAGTCAAAAATTGGTTCTTAGAAGAAAAATTAATAAAATTGATAATTCCCCTAGGAGAAAAACACAAATCATCTATATTGGGATAAAGGGGCACAGATCCTATGCTCATTAAAAGGATATTAAGGGAGTCGGCGCCGCGGCTCACTAGGCTAATCCTCCGCCTTGCGGTGCTGGCACACCGGGTTCTAGTCTCGGTCAGGGCGCTGGATTCTGTCCCAGTTGCCCCTCTTCCAGGCCAGCTCTCTGCTGTGGCCAGGGAGGGCAGTGGAGGATGGCCCAAGTGCTTGGGCCCTGCGCCCCATGGGAGACCAGGATAAGTACCTGTCTCCTGCCATTGGATCAGCGCCGTGCACCGGCCGCGGCGGCCATTGGAGGATGAACCAATGGCAAAGGAAGACCTTTCTCTCTCTC